CCCCCACCGTCCATGTTTAAAATAGATGGCAGTATGATGATTTTAGGCTTCTCCCAGGAATACATTTCTAGAGCTAGCATTTTATTCAGTGAGCTCAATTAAAGGTTGCAAAGGCAAGTTAGCACTCATGGGCTTTTTGGTAAAGGCATCACAAGTACCAAATGCAGCAAGGAGCTTCAGTGAGCATAACATAAATAGGAAAACTTCAGCACAGAGATGCCAGTTTTGGGAAGGGTCCTGGCACATAGTTTCACTCACAGTGTGAAGAAGATTCTTAAAAGCTTGATGCAAAAGTCACTGGGCAGCAGTGACTTATGTCAGCTGGTGATGTCCTATCACCTTAAAGATAGAACAACATATTTATGAAACTGGAAAAGATGAGAAAATTCCAGTTATTACCAGAGGGTGTAGTACGCCAGTAACATCCCCCAAATATATGAAAACTGACAAGGTGAAGATATTGATAAGTGATTGGTCTCGCTCTCTTTTTTTCCTCTTTTTTTTTCTTTTCTTTTTTAAACATTGCATTAGCAGTTTCTTGAAAACAGATGGTATCTCTCAATATTTGTTGTTATCTATTGATATCTCAGAAAATGAGTACTATTATTATTACCTGCAAAAGTTCAGTCTTTTTAATGTTTGGAGAGACATTAGCATGGGCAGAACAAAGTTTATCCCATCTAATTTGAGATCTACAGCATAGACATCTGCAAATGAAGAGGAATATATTTTTCTGACCACAAAACACCTGAGTTTATGCTTTAGTCTGCTTCATAGTGAGATGGCTCTGCATAGGGCTTCTTGGTGAAATTTAAAATGTCTAGGAATAGAGTCTGGGAGTGAGTAACTGAGATGCAAACATCTGCATCTTTGATGATTGCTACTTGAATGTCTTTCACAGTTTTGAAAAGAAATATTAGAAATCCCTGAATGTTGTAATTAGTGGACTTTGTCCTTAATGCCCTGTCCATCTTTTCTATCCTTCAGCTATTACAGGAATGTATTTGTTTTAGCAACCTGTTGGGAAATAGACAAGGAGATAAACTTGAGGCCATTCCCCCTTGTTCTATCACTACAGGCCCTTGTGAAAAGCCCCTCTTCAGCCTTCTTGTAAGCCCCTTCAGGAACTGGAAGGTTTCTCTAAGGTCACCCTGAAGCCTTCTCTTCTCCAGGCTGAACTAGATCATTGATCAATGGCAGGAGGTCTGCATTAAATGCAACAGACTTGGGTACACAGTGGTCTCTGGGATTTCCTATACTCTGTTGGCCTCTTGAATGTACCCAACATATTTAAGTATTATGTACACAGAGCCAAAGTCACAGTGATAGATACAGTTCTATGCTGATAAGATGGTCTGGAAAGAGAACAATTGTAATACAAATGAGTAATATTTCCTTTCAATTTTCTTGACTAGAAAGTAGGCCATTGGCTTGCAGCTAAAAAGGTAAGGATTGTTTCAGGGAAGGATGAGATTTCTAATCTCCTACTTTCAAGCACATTTTAGAAGAGAAATCCCCAGGAAGTAGCTATGTTGTCTAAGGCAGCAAACACCACAAATTGTAGTTGTGCTGGTTTTCCATATGGGACAGTTTTCTACTTCACAAAGCTATAATGTCGTGCAAAGTTCATTTTACTGGTAAGCATCATTGAGCCAAAATTGAGTTCAAAGCCCCAGGGTAAATAAATGTAAGCATTTATCCAGAGTGCTTTTTAAATTGGCATGAAATTTTGGGATCTTGGTTGCCTAGTTCACTCATTTCTAGTGCTCTGCAGGCTTCATTAGGGCCCCTAAAATTGAGAAGCTGGCTTTCTCTTCTGGGGAAAAAATAGTTCTCTGCAAAACTGATGACTTTAAAAGATGTGTAACCAGTACAGTTGACATGAACTCTATAATATAATGGCAGTGAAGGTGGGTTCTCATGAAAAGCTTGTCCACATAATATCAAGCCAATTAGACATTGATAAAAATTAAAAATTTCTTTTAAAGTTAAATGGTTTTAACCATATTCAGTGTAATTTTCCAATAGCATGAAATAAGCATTCTTTTCCTTGCCAAACAAAATTGCTGCCTAGACGTTTTTACTCCAGAAAATGGAAGTATATAATGATGCATGCATGAGCTGAAGGCTTGTTGCTTTCATGAGCTAGACTGCATGTGTGTTGGTTGAAACACTGGTGGATCTTTACAAGATTTTAAGAAAATGATTTTTTTCCCCTGTTTATTTAAAAATACTATTTGGAGTGGTAAATTGTATTTTAAAAGTATATCAGCATATTATAGTCATATATCTCCCTCTTCTTCATCACTTGCAATCTTTATTTACTTGTTCCTTAAGAAATATTGAATGAGAATGACTCAGAATGTTTTAATCAGAAACTGTTTCTGTTTTTTTAAAAAAATTTCTTCACACTTTCAGTTTTTTCTTAAATGGATTGTTTTCAGTACTGCCATGTAATATTGGCTTTACGGGTGTAAAGGTTTGCAGCATGTCACTTTATTCCTTTAGCAGTGTCATTATATATTCAGAAATCGCTGTGTATCTGTAAAAAAAAGGTGATGTTCTATAGTGTAATATATATTTCTGAAACTTCTGTTTTCTTAGTTGTTACCTAAACTCCAGTTATAAATTACCCCCTTCCTCCAGATTTGAGAGTGACAGGGACGTACACAAAAATGTATTGCAGCTCTAATGACGTTACGTGCTTTTCTAAGGAAAGGACATGGTAGATGCACAAATCACTTATTTCCAAGGTGGAATTTCCCTTATTATTTTATTGTGCCATTATTGAGTGTGCAGTTTTTAATTTTGTTTTCTGGAATGAAATTGTAATGCAAGACAGATTCTATATGCCAAAAATAAGACTTTAATGGATTAGACTGTTTTGACTGGAATATTAGAAGGATGTAATGACATGCTAATACATTTTATTAGGCTGCCAGCTTATGTGTGTAAATGTTTCAAAAGGAATGAGACATGCATACACATAGCATACAATGTTTAATTTACTAGATTATATTTGCTTACAAAGGTGTACACCTTGGTTGAAAAATCTCTTTTTTTTTTAATAGTAATCTTATGCCTATATAGCTAGCACTATAGGTCTAGAGATATATTGTTCTTGTAATTTTAAATTCACACTGCTCTCTAGTGGGGAATGCTTTCAATGCAATAGATTTTATATATATTCATTTACAACATGTATATAAAATGAGATTACTGAACTGTTACTGGCATCTAGACCAAATCAGTAAAACTTATTCTATTGTGATAGCATTTTAATCCTTGTACTGCTTTGATTAAAGACTGAATTTACTAATTTAAAAATATTTTAAATGGATGAATCTTTGGAGTGAACAAACTCCAGAAAGGCTGAGAGGTTGATAGATTTATGCTTCTTCCTCAGGACAAACCTCCTCCCTGCATTAGGAGAAATTTGCTATAGGTCTGCTATTGAAAAACATCATGTTTTCTTCTAAGCTTCTACAGTCTCACAGTGTCTTTTGCTTTGGAGTGAATTGTTTAGCTTGCTTTCTCATCTCTTGCCTACAACAGCTACGATCCTAGATAAGAGCTGACTACACAGAAGCTGAAATAATACTGACAGATCTAGTTGAGTTAGGTTTAAATGTACAGCAAGCGCAGAGGTCCTCTCAGACTTGAATCTGTCGTTTCTTAAATGACATGGGGTCTGGTTAGCATAGAACGCAATGCTAATTAGATATCAAGCAGATATGAAAACTGAGATTGAAACTGATTTGAATATCGATAGATTTTAGACTTTCTTCTTTAGATAAATTTGTCTTTGTGATTTGATTTGAAGGCAATAATTGTCTTTAAATCTTTGCGAGATCTGTCAAAAAAGTTGAGCTGATGAAATTTAAGTCATTTTAAGCTATCTGAAGAATGATTTGCAGCATTTTGTTGTAATCAGACCCAAATCTGGAGGCTTGTTTTAGACACTGAAACTCTTCTGGATCTGGCATTAAAGACCCATTTTCTTGTGTAGCTGCAATAATCTTTTTTTTGTCTCTAGGTTGATTGATTTGTCAATTGGAGACCAAATAGCATCATCACATTTAAGGCTGCAGTAATTTTGTCACTCAAAGTATAGATTAGATTCTTTGTCTAGACCTTCATTTATTCACTAAGTCTGGGTGAACAAGCACTTTAAAGATTTATATGGTATATAAAGGTCTCATCAAAATGCTAAGTTAGTATAACATTTTGCATTCCTTGAATAGGAGATTAGGTTTGCAGTGCTCAGAGCATGTCTTTACCTGTGCCATTTCTGCTCACTTTTAATCAAGGAAGCTCACAGTTACACTGGTTTCACTTGAAGTTCTGCAGATGGGATTATCTTCTCATTTCTGCTTTTGTTGTTGCTGTCTGGTATTAGCTGAATCTAAGCTAACTATCCTTCAATTATAATCCTGGCTGGTTAAGATAAGAAACTAATAACATGTTTATTTGTCTTTGAAATACTCTGAGAAAGTGGCGAAGTTATTAGACATGGGCTTGAAAGCAATCACAAGATGTGGGGAGAGGATGACTGGGGCTGCTAAATATTTAAAAAAACTCAAGGGTGAGGTCTGTCCATTTAAGCTTATTGAACTAATATATAATGGGAGGGAGGTTCTTCTGTTAATTATACCTTCTCCCCCTTTTCTTCCATTGACTGAAGCGTTGGTTTATCTGACATTTTTTTCTCAGCTCCTGCAGTGTTTTTACTCTTTCTTAGATCAGTTATCACAGGAGGTGCCACATCCATATCTAATGGTAGCTCAGCTTTGGCATCATTTGGCTGGGAAGTTAGTCAAGTTACATCAAAGAACTGCAGAAGTTGAGCAGAAAGCAAAATATATGAGTGGAAATATAATGTCAAAATATAAAATGCAGAAAATTATTTTCTGCATTTTAGTGGTTTGCAGATATTGCTATCTTTTCTATATTATTTTGCATTCTCATCAATTTTCTCTCCTGTGTTTTTTTCTTCTCAGAAAATATGAAGAAGCCCTGGACTCCCGATTTACCAGTTGATAACCAGTCATACAATTCAGATTTCACATCTCTCCCAGACAGGGAAGGTGAGAAAGAATTAGCACCTGATGGCACTGAAGAAAAGAAGGAGAGAGAAAAGAAACACACCAATTTCACTTTGTGTAATGTCTGTAACATTCAGCTGAACTCTGCTGCTCAGGCACAAATCCACTACAACGGCAAATCCCACCAGAAGAGGTTGAAACAGCTCAGCAATGGAAATCTCAAAAGTGATAATGGTAAGCCTTATAATATATAGATCTTTGCCATGTTTTGATCTGAGAATTGCAGCAATGTGCACTATGTTGATATATATGAATATAGACTTTGTTTTATTCAGACAACAAATACTTTGAAGTTAAAGCAAAGGTTTTTGGTGACTTCAGAGTGCTGGAGGTCATCCCTAGCATCTGGCAAATATCTTAACATACACCATCTGTGTTATTGCAAGAGTTTTCAGTTTATATTTTGTTTACATAATGATGTTGATTCAGAATCTTTCTAATTTCATTTACATTTTTATGGTTTTCAGCATAATCAGTGATACTCCATATTTCACAGTCTACTAGAAAGGTTATCCTTGTTAGGGGCGTGCTTGCTTTCAATGAATGTAAGGTGGTTGTGAAATAAATTGAAACAAGTACATTACACAGAATTACATTCCCAAACTCCTTTAACTTTATCTTGCTTATTCTGGCTTCAACCCACAACTGACATAAGTTTGTTTCAAGATCATGGCTGAATTGAAACAGAGCTAGAACAAAACTCATATTTTGACTTTGATCAATTTCATTGACAGCTTTGAGGAAAGCATTTCATAGTAGGTGACATGCTCTTCAATCATCACAGTGAATTGTGATCCCCAAAGAAAAACACATGTGGCTTTTTGTACTAAGGCAGATTAGATAATGGAGGCAAATGATGGTCCCTGATAAGAAAAAACAAATTACCACATTGCAATTTTTTCAATTTTATAACAGGTAGTACCCAACTTTGCTGTACCATGTATATGGCTGTGCTGCATTCTTGTATCTGCTTCTGTGTACCATATCAGAGAAATAATTGTCTTAATACGTTGTACTTAGGACTTTCAGACTTTTTCTCCATATCACACATGTTGCTTACTATTTTATACCTTGAGTTGCTTCCTGCCCCACCTGCAGAAGGATATGCAAAACAACAATCCTTAGATAGAACTTCATATTATTATTTTAATAGTCTCTGCTTTGTTCCCACACTAAGAGTGGGGAATAACATTGATATTTTGCCTAAGTATGTTGGATGAGAGTGCTTTTCTGTGTATGAGGTGTTGCACTTTTCTGTAAAACACAACAATAAAACAAATAACGCCCCCATAATATTCAGCAATACAATTAAGTTTGTCTTTAAGTGGCCGGTGGGACTGCAGCATTTGACAATGTTCGGAATTCAGGCTTAGAAAAAAATGCTACTACCATTAGTAGGAGCTGTGGAAATCTATAAAGAAAGATTGATTTCCTAATTGATTAAAGGTGCAATGTGGTTATCCACAAATGCATTCTCTATTAAACCAAACAAACACAGTCTAATTTATTGCTATATTTGGTTAAGGAGGAATTGTTATTGTTATTATTAGCACAACAATTTTGCTAATGGTAGAAAGATTTTTTTTCTGCAATTCATTTTTCCACTTTAATCCATGATAATGAAAGAATTAGCAATTAAGCAATGCTGAAATTAGTATCAAAGAGCTTCAATCATGGTTCAACATTTATATTCTGGAGAGGCTCAAACTAGCAGTGTAGCAGCATATTTCTTACTTCCCCCTTAGGAGTATTCAATGTTGTGTGTAGCTGCATCAATTTGTAGTCAGAAAGTAGCTGTTTGAATATCTAGCTCTTTGTTTCAAAGTGCAATTATTTTGTGAGTTTATGTGAAAATTAAGGATTTTCAAATCTGGCAGATCTTTAAATATCGTCAAAAGCAGTGCTCCAATGAGAAAATAAGGTAGGGTAGAGTATAAGGAAGGGATTTTTCACGTCACCATGTTCAGTTATCTTCAACTGAGTGTTGTAAATTAGAGAGACCAGTATAAAATATTTCTTGCTAGAAGTTAGAACTGAACAAGAACTGAATATTTGAGTAACCATCCTCCCTTCACTTTGAATAGGGAAACTCTTTGAGATGCCTTTTTTGAGATGAGTATAAATCAGAACATGAGAGTCCTTTTACCATTATAGGTTTTGTCATAACTTGTATTTCTGAAATATGGACCACATTTTTCTGACAAATGATTGCTTTGTTGATGAGACCCCAGCAAGCCCAAGTGACATATGACCATGACTAAACAAATTATGACTTGAGCATTGCAATTTATCATGTACATGCAAATGGTGCTTTTTGAAGGTCATTGATCTATCTAACTGTTACCCATGCACATTGTTTTCTCAATGTATGTCAGAAGGATACTTTATTTAAGAGAATGGTGTTTCTTGTGTGGAAGTCCAGTTGTCACAAAAGACAGCTGTTGTGGTTGATGTCCACATTAGTGACATGATAATTCTAGAGACTAGATTCTGCAGTAAATTAAAAGTATGCAAATATTCTGCTTTATGCATTGTCTTCTATGGTTTTGTCATTATAGTTACTCAGTATGTCTCTACATATGAATGAAGTATCTGGACTATGCACAAGGAAACTTAATGTCTAAATACAGTGTTTCACAAACTCTGTTGTATTTGCCTTTGCCCTGCTGGATGCTCTCTTGGAACTAACATACATGGAAAGGTTGGGAAAAATATTGGAGCTGTGATTTCCCATTTTGTTTCATCTCCAAATTATTCCCAGGAAGCAGGATAGGTTTGTGTGTTTTGTATCACGAGGGGATAATAGAAAGGGAGGATTGATTCATGTGAAACAAAAGACCATGTCTTGTTCCAAAATAATTTGCAATGGACTGCTGAACAGAGGTAGGGTTCAGCTGTATTAGCATTTGACTGTGTAATTAGAGTTGTCATGCTACAGTCATCAACTTCCATCTGTGTGAAGGAGCTTTTGTCTGTTGGACTTGAATTACAGAACATTTACTTTACTTGAATATCTCTGCCTAATTTAATCAGATAAGTTGCTTATGCACAAAGTCTGTTAATATCTGCAAATCTATAATCAGTAAATAATGTGCATTGTGGGGTTAAAAGCAATGTTTCTTTGCTGCTCTGTTGGCATCTGGACTGTATTTGAACAACCAGATATACTCTGAAAAGTTTTGTTAGTTGCTTATGAGTCTGTTTGGCAGCTTTACTGTACCATACCCCTGTGGTTCCTTCCTGGGGCAGGACAACTACAGAACAGCACACTGCAGCCACAAAAGGGACGTGAACCCAATTTCTTGTGTCATTACTTGGTACAGTGATTTGTGATGACTTAACAGGATATAGTGAGACATCAGCACTTCTGTTACTGAAACATGCTTTGGAGCAACACAGTTTTTTGTGTACCTTCCTCCTAATAATTGCCTTTAATGTCTCTTAAAAAGACTTCTCACACTTTACTCATTATACCCTAGAAAATATTCTTTTTACTGGTGATTTTTTTCTTTGCTTTTCTACTCTCATGCATGGGGTGGAAAGGTGACAAGAAAGTCAGTGAAGATTTTGAGTATGTTTTGAGATTAAAAGGGGAGGGTAAGACGCAGTTCCAGTCTGGTCTGCTCACATTGCACCACTTCTCATAAAACCTGCCTGGACACTGTGGGAAGAGGTGACCTCGTGTGGGAAGTCTTTTATTCTAACCAGCAGGAGCAAAGCTCACAAAACTCATTGACAGAATGGAAAAACAACTGTGGGTGCAAACGTATAGCAGCACCAGTGAGAAAGCTGATGTTTCTAAAATTTTATGTAAACCAGAATTTCTTCTGTGCATTCTTTTGTGTAAATTGCTGAATCATCAGGAGTGAATGAGGCATGGTTAGGACAAAAGCTAAAACTGCTTTCCTCTGCAATACTTTTTACAATACATTAGAGAACAAGTAGGAAAATAATGAACGAGGTGAGCAAAGTCACAAAATTAATAGAAATCTTTGTGCTTTCTGAACTGATTCCTGAAAAAACTGATTTCTGAACCATTATTCTTTTGAAACATAGAAGGCTGTGAAGCATTTGGTGGTGGTTTATTTATCTAGCTCTCTAAATTCATAACCCAGATCAAAGTCTATGCAATTTAGTATGTTTTATTTACTCTCTTTTAAACTAAATCTAAATACAACTCTTTTTTCACTAAAAATTTCATTAAAGCAAATTTTTGTTGTAAAGCCAACAAGGACACTGACTACATGGAAAAAGAGAGCCAAAAGTATCAGAATTTTCCCCCTTGCTAATTTCAGAAAGCAAATCCCTTAATTCAATACTTAACATTACTTTAGAATGAATAACTATTTTATTGTTATGGTAATGAGTATTATGAAATATGCACTAAAAAGGAATGCATATTTCCCACACTTAATTCTTTTTTCAACTTCATTCAGTAGTTGAATGTAGTTTCCTAAAACAACATTTGAGATGGCAGTTTTCTTAAATCTACACTATACATTTTTTGCACACTGGTCAGAGAAAATGTTTAATCTTTTACAAGTTTTCTTTTGCATCTACATCCTTACTTTTTATTAATCTGCCCATAGAAAATCCAGATGATTTATCCAAACTGCTTGCAGAGTTTCTGTCCTTGCACTTTTGTGTTGATGTTTATTTTCTGTCCATGCTGCCGTTGCATTTTGCACCTCTGCTGTCGTGTTTTGTGATCATGAAAGCTGATAGCTTTGGGGTAGACACATTCTTACTTTTAGGTGGTAAACCACCAGTCAGGGCTTTCAGAGAAGTGGTGTCATCTTCTCTTTTCATTCTGTTAGCCCTCCTTTCAGAGGAATAGGATTGGATGGGACATGGGAGAAAAGAGGAAGTCTTCAGGCAAAGTATGTTTTTCTTCAGAATAGGTGGTTTTTCATTAATTTTCTGGCAAGTAAGAATTGTCAGTTCAGCTTGAGATGTCCCTGGAAGTCGCATATCTAGCAATATTTTTTTTTTTAACATCTTCTTCTGATGCAGAGCTTCATGGCCAGTTAACAGAAAATCCAATATGTATTTTCCTCTGATTTTAAGCTTCTAGTTTGTGGATCATACATGCCAGTATCTTGTAAAGCATCACAACAGGTTCCCTCTGGGCATTAGTAATATCTCTCAAATGTCAAAGCTGGAGATTTCTAGAC